GGGGTGGACATGGTCTTGAAGCAGCTGCAGGCCCGAGCGGCGCGGAGACCGAACGACACGTTCATAAAGTGGACGTGAAGGCCGCTTCCCAGAGACTGGGGCGCGGGCCCGCCATAGAAGCCATGGCGGAGCACGTGCCAGAGGTCGCCCGCACACTTGACACGTGGTACAGGGGCCCGGCGACCCACCTCTGGCGGGACGCGGCCAGGAATTCCGAGCCGGATGAGAGCGCCAGGGGCTTCGACCAAGGCGACCCGCTGGCACCTGCCGCCTACGCGGCGGGTCAACGCAAGGCCTTGCAGCCTTACCTAAAGCGCCTCGGCGCCCTCGACGCAGAGACGAGGATGTACTCCTTCATTGGACGACGCGTACATCGTTATCCCTGTGGCGCTGGCCGCGCAGGCGCTCCTCCTCTTCCTCCTGCTCTTCCTTCTCCTCCTGCTCCTCCTGCTCCTCCTCCTCCTCCTCCTCCTCTTCCTCCTCCTCCTCCTCCTGGAACATGCGTTAGCCCCCTACGACCTGGAGCTCAACCCGACCAAGACTTTGGTGTGGGTCCCAGCTTGCCTGCCAGAGAGGTTGCGCTTTCGCTACGTGGCATCGCTGCCAGTGCTGGGCGCGCACTTGAAGGCGCGTGGTGACCAGGAGGACGCCCCTTTCCTGTTCGGCCGCCAGGAAGGCGGACTCGGCGCAGCCACGGACAGGCTCGACTCTCTCTGGCGGACCCTCCGGCCGCTCGCGGGGCGCGGCCTGTGGAGGCAGGCAGCCAGGGGCCTGTTCAGCACCTGCGCTGGCGCCGCCAGCCAGCGCGCCTTGCGGGCCACGTTGGCCACGAACCCGGAGACGCAGCGCTACGACAACGCGCTGGCCAGCTGCTGGGAGGACTTGGCAAGCAGGGACCTCGACCCTCTGTACTGGGAAGTCCTCGGCCTGCCGTGCAAGGAGGGTGGGGTCGGGGCGCAGTGGGCGTACACCCGCCGAGCACCCGCTTTCTGGCCCGGGTGGGCCTTCGCCTTGGAGTGTGTCGCGAGGGGCGCAGGGGCGAGTGCGAGCGAGCTGCTCGAGGTGGTGCCTGACCCAGAGCAGACGCTCGCCAGGGTGCGCGCAGAGCTACGGAGCCGTGGAGCCGACCCAGCCCCCGGAGCCTGGCTCCTGGAAGCTCTCTAGACGCCGCTTAAGCAGAGCAAGCTTGTGAAACTCGTGCAACAGAACACCCGCGCGGCCGTGTGGCAGCGCTTGCCGGTTCACGAGAGACTTCTGCTGCTGAGTGCTGGAGGCCCCGGCGCGGCGGCGTTCCTGCTGTGCCCGAGCGACCCGGCGTGCGCCGTGGAAGGCGAGCACTGGTCGTCAGCACTACGAGCGCGGGCGCTGGTGCGCAGGCCTGAGGGCTCGCGGGCAGAGCTGGCCGCGGCCGCTGCCGCGTGCCAGAACAAGAGCCGCGGGGCTGGCGCGGCCGCGGCTGCGTGCTCGGCCCCGCTGGACGACAGGGGCGCCCACGCCGCCGTCTGCACCCAGGGGGGCGGAGTGGTGGTATGCCGCGGGAGGCTTGAGGATTCCGTGGCAGGCTTCGTGTAGCGGTGGCTCCGCCACGATCCCTTGCAGGAGCAAAGGGTGCCCGCGTGGGACCGCCGGCGCGAGGGGCGGCCAGCGGGCCCGACGGGCGCCGACCTCCAGGAGCGCGCTATCTTCGACATCGAATACTTCGAGGGAGCGGGGCGGCACAGGCTCGGTGCGACCGCGCGGCGCCCGGCGGCGGAGCACGTCGCGGGCCGGGCCGCCCGCGGGCCTGGCGAGGCAGCGCGCGCAGCCGAGCGCGAGAAGCACGCGCGCTACCCTGGGGGCCGCCTCGCGCTCTTCGTGGTGGAAGCGCCAGGCCGCCTCCGCCAGTGGCTGGTCCGCCAGGCCAAGGCGTGCCCTGACGACCAGCGGACCGTGGAGCTCATCCGCGCTTATGAGGTGGTCAGCTGCATTGTCCAGACGCAGCTGGCCCTCCAACGCCGCAGAGCCGCTGGCCTACGCTAAGCTCGCGGCCCCCCCCCTCTTCCTCTTCCTCTCTTTTCCCCTTTCCCCCCTCGCCCAGTTCAGGCGGCCAGTGCTCATCTGCATCGTTTTGTGGATCAGTTCCCTCTCCTCTCCCTCTCCTTCCGGTTCCTTGCCTTTGGCGGGCGCGCGCGCGCCTAAGGGGGGGCTGGGTGGCGCGCGCCCCTCCGCCGCGCGCTCGTCTCCTCCATCTTCCGGTTCCTCCCTCCTCCCTCGTCCTCCTTTTCCTCCTTTTCCTCCGCAGGGGCGTTCTCTCAGACTTGCAAGTCTCTCGCTTCCGTTATTCGTATTTTCCTTTTTGGGAAGGGAGGCCCTCTCGTGCCGCGCCGAGGGGCGGAAAAAGGTGATGTGCCCACTTTCGTCCCTACATTTTCCTTGTGGCGCGCTGTGGACTTCATTCGCGCGCCCAGCCCCAGTGGACACCCACCACAAAGCGAGGTGAGTGCTCGGGCCGCGGGTCGACGGGGAGGGAGGGAGGGAGGGAGGGAGGGAGGGAAGGAGGGGACATAAAGGAAGGATGAACGAGGAATGCGCGAGGAGCAGGATCAGGGATGGAAGACGGCGGATGGAAGAGGGAGGAGGTGGTGAACAAAAACATGGCAGGTGCCATGTTTTTGTAGATCAGGCGCGTGCCTGATCTCGGTAGAATGCTGAACAGGACAGCCACGGAGGGGGAAGGAACGGCCCGGTGGTTCCCTCCCGGCAGATGCGCAGCCTTTGTGCCAGCAGCGAAATGGCTTTATTTTGACCGACTGACCGCCGCCGCCCCCCCCAAGCAAGAAGCAGGAGTCCAATCCAAGAGCGCGGGGTCAGCGGTAAGACGAAGAGCCAAAATTCATATGATCACCGGCGCTGAAGCTTGGGTTTCAGCCACGCATATGGTTTTCTTTATTCGATGTTCGATAGGAAGAGGTGCGTGCGTCGAGGGACACGTTTCGATCGAGAGAAACGGTGAGGACCGAAAATGGGGGATCAACCATACTCGTGGGCCAGAATGCGGATTCAATGGCTTCAAGAACTCGCGCGAGATCCGACATCTGTCCCCCCAGGCCCTCGATACCCACCCTCATCGCCTTCGATCGTTCGGCCATTTGGGGGATTCCGTATCCGTGCAGGGGAAAGCGTGCGGGCGAGCCGTGACGGGCGCTCGGTTCGTGTCGGGCGGACCCTAGCTCGGGCGGTGGTGTCGTGTCCCGTCGGAGGAGGGAGAAGGTAGGAGGAGGGAGGTGGGAGGAGGGAGGGGAGAAAGAGAGAGAGAGAGAGACAGAGACAGAGATGGAGGAGACATGGTGGTGAAGAAGGGAAGAGGGATACTGAGACAGACCGAGGAAGGAGGCGGGATGATGGAGAAGAAGGCAGGGAGAGGAGAAGGAACGGGAGTACAACGAGGTGGAGGAACAATGTGATATAGTGTTCACTCTCGGTCTCACGATCGACCTTACAATCGTCCTCACTATCGATTGCATCATCTATCTCATTAACTAATCTATCGATATCACAATCGATCTCAAGATTCATAGTATTTCTTTTCAAATCATCCACTGATTGGGTTTTCTCAGGTGTAATCTGATATACATTGCGCCACATAGTTTACCCCTCCTAGCTTGCACCACATAACTTGCACATCGTTGCACCATATATCCATCACATCCACAGTGTAATAACTCATTGTTTTGGGCCCACGTTGGCTAACCAGTTCCAGTGGGTTTGCTATGATTGTGTATCTATTTCTGCATTGCGTTAATTGCGCACTGCATGCCGTGAGCATCCAACTTGCATTGCTTCCAGCGCATTGCGCTGAATTGGTTTGCACTGCCATGCACGGCATTGCGCTGCTTTTGCACTGCTCTCTATTGCAGCGCGTGGCATTAAGGTACATTGCGTTTGCCCTGCCATCCTTTCCCTGCCATTATTTTCCATTGCATTGCATCGCGAAGTATTGCATTGCTTTCCATAACGCTCTGTTATTCTCAGTTCACTTGCAGAGGTCCCTAGGCTGGGGTCGCGCTGGGTTGTTCAAATCTATAACTTACAGGTCGGCTTGCCTGTAGGAGTTGCCACGCGCTGCCATGTAAGAAGTCCAGTGTGCTCTCCCTGAATACAGTTTTGATCCTACGCTATGTTGGGTTGACGAGAATTCCAGTGAATGTTTCCTGGGGTTCACTGGAGTGGAGGAGCATGCCGACGTCCTCATTTTCGAGGCGGAGCTTGGATTCAGGTGCGTGCCAGAGCGGACGATCTGGCAGTTGGTGCGATGCCGGAAAGGTATTCTTGGGCGCCGTGGTCAGGCGTACAATGCAGCCTTGCAGGTGGTTCTTCTTCAGCATCCGGATGATGAGGAACACGTAGGAAGCACGGTGCTCATTTGCCATGAATGTATGGGGCCAGAGCTTCGTGCTGTACGGGCTTCAGGTATGAGTCGACTGGCCAAGAGAAACTTAACATATGGGGAGGGGGAGCCGCTCTCTCCCTCCCCGTCTTTCTTTCTGTCTGTCTCTCTCTCTCTCTCTGTCTCTTTCTGGAAGTGAAGACATGAGACTTGAATAACGAGGGGCATATGCAGAAGAGTGGCCAGGCTACAGCACATCGTGAATACACGACATGTTCTCTGCACTGCCCCTGTAGTGTGGAAGCGCTGTTCATGTATTGTCGAGGGGAGCTTGTCATCTGCCCCGCACAGATGCCAAGAGAGTTAGAAGTGTGTGAGCGCCTATTCGGCAGACATGTCGGTTGACACCTATGCTGGTCGACTCGCGCTAACTTCTCTGTGGTTCTTACAGCCTGGTTTGCACTCTTTCTCGCTGAAGCTGAAAGGTCTCGCAGCCGCATGCAATCCCCATAATGTTTCTCTTGCAAGGAAAGCTGCATGTAGCGCGCAAGCGAGGACCGCTCTTTCTCTGGCGTCGACACGTGGACGACATCATTGCGACTCAACGCAGGGCCAAGGAAGTCTCATACAAGGCATGCGAGGACAAACTGAGACAGCGCTCAGAGGATTTCTCGCCTTCCGTCAGCGTAGCCTGCACCGTTCATGATTGCGTGTCTGGTATATTTGATTCGCATGTCAGCCTAACGTTCACATGTTGCCCTATCACATGAGGTTCAGCAGTGGCGTTCCAGATTTAGTGTTGTCTGGTGGAGGCATTGGAGTCGGATGACAAGACTCGTGGGCCAGGCAGCATGCGCGTCGCTGTTCGTCGTAACCGCGGGCACGCGTATTAACAATATTGCGAAGGCCTTACGGCCGGTGCCGCCGACCCTGAAAGACGACGACGACCACGACCACGACCACGACGACGACGACGACGACGACGACGACGACGACGACGACGACGACGACGACGACGACGACGAGCGCTCTCGGGGGCCTCTTGGGGGTAGTTTGGGGGCCTCTTGGGGAGCTCTTGGGGGCCGTTTGGGAGCCTCGTGTGGGCATCTTGGGGCTTCCTGGGGGTCTCTTGTAGGTCTCTTGGGGCCTCTTGGGGGGTTTCTTAGGGGCCTCTGGGGGCTTCCTGAGAGCTTCTCAGGCGACTCGGGGCACTCTTGGGCCGTCTCGGGGGCCATCTTGGGCATTCGGACCTCATTTGGAGTGTTTTCGAGGTTTCGAGGCCGCCCGAGGAAAAACGAATCTGCCCCCCCACCCCCCCCGGGACCCCCCCCCCCCGGGACCCCCCCCCCGCGACCCCCCCCCCCCTTGGGGAAGGGATCAAAGGGAAGGGGCTTCCCTTCGATTCGATTACGACATTGCCAGTTTTCTATCTCGCTGACAGGCTTGAGGAGAGGAGGGCGCAGGGAAAGGGGACGACGGAGACGACGACTGACGGAGACGACGACTGGAACAGACAGACCCCTCGCACACGCCGACAGGGTCGGCGGATTTCACTCCATGAGGTTTCCGATGGTCAACTCAATTATCGAAGACGCCCACGGTGAATCACCGCCGCCCCCTGCCTTCTGGGATACGCCTATGTGGCCAAACCAAACGGTTGGGCAACGTTTGGCCACACTATTGGAACATGCGTTACCCCAGCCGTTGTGGAAGCCCTTCGGGGAACACGTGGGGGAGAAAGAGGAGGATGAAGAGATGAACGGAAAAGGACGATGAGGAGAAAGATGAGGAGACCTCTTGGGAGCTTCTTGGGTCGTTCATGGGGCCTCCTGTGAGCTTCCTGGGGCCTTTAGGTGCTTCTTGGGGGCCTCTTTGGCCGTCTTACGGCGTTTCTGGAAGCCGTCGTGAGAGCCTCTCTGGGCCGTCTTGGGGCGCTTCAGGGCCGTCTTGCAAACCATATTGGGGCCCTTTGGGGGCCGTCTTGGGAGCCTCTTGGGCCGTCCTGGGGCCATCTTGGAGGCCTCTTTTGCGATCTTTAGGCTATCCTGGGAGCCTCTTGGGCCGTCTTGGGCCGACAGGAGGCTGTTTTGTAGCAACTGCCCAAATCCTTCAAGCACCCAAGGAATATCAATGAGTTTGGTCTCTTCGGGCCTTACTGGAGGACCTCTTGGAGGCCTCTTGGACCGTCTTGGAGGCCTCTTGGGGGCCTCTTGGGCCGTCTTGGGCCATCTTGGAGCCATCTTGGGCCGTCTAGGGCACGGTTGCGGATTTGTTTGTTCATCCGATGTCCGGTGATGTTCCTGGCAGTATCCACCAGATAGTTGCCCACAGCAGCTATAATCGAGAATATATAGTGTGTCAAGGCAACAGACAGCAGGAGAGACATGACATGAGCGCACTCCGTAGCACCCTAATCACGGGCTGGAAGGGGCATCCAGGCATCGATTCGCCACAACAGCTGCGATTGTCAGATGGTAGCGGCGCATGCCTTAAGGTTCCGCAGACCTGGCACTCTTCGGGCGCCGCCATGGCGGAAGCTGAGCTCTGCGTGCCGCTCGGGCAGATACCTGCGAGGTTGGCACGGACAGACGCGGTGGCGGAGCCGGCAGGAGCAGGGATTCAGCGAATCCCGGCAGATCTCGAGCCCCCGAGGGAGGGGGCGAACCGCAGGGCTGAGTAGCAGGAGTAGCTACTGAACAGCCGGCTGAGCGCGCCAGGTCGGGGGTAAAGTTGGTGGGCGCCAGGATGACGAATGAGCCCTTTGCTTTTCGCGGCACGATGGCGAGCTGCCGGGCTGGTCGTTCGTGTTCTGCGCCTACTGTTGTGCCGTGCCTCGTCGGCTGACGGGGACTCAGAGTATATAGTATACACGATGGGCGCGGTCCGTGTCCGTTAGGTATTTGTTCAATACGCAGCAGTGGTAGGCGGAGTTAACACGTAAAGGTTGAAGGCAACAGGAGGCACTTGAAATGAACACATTATGTAGCGTCGTTCTGGGTGAGCAGGAGATCAAGACATCGAATTTTCATTGCGATTGCAGTTGCCCGATCGTGGGTCGATGGCACGGATATTTAGCTGTCGCTGCATTCCGCTAACAGTGATTAGCTCACTCAGAGCCTAGAGAGATTTGCGAA